CCTCGTTAATAAACAAACGCAGAGCCTGGAAGGAGAGCGTAGGCTGGTATATGAGCTCTAGCGGGCTTTTAAATAATTAATTTTTGCGGTCTTTTTGATCGGTAAACAGTCCCTCCCCCCATTCGAGAAAGGACTTGGAAAGGCACTGGTTGCAGTATTCCCATGGTCTTGCTACCGCCAGGATCTTGAATTATTAGGCTTCTTAAATTAGTCAGTAATTGAAACATAATCAATGTTAGGAGCCACCGTAATGGACACGCGAGCAGGAAGCCAGCAGGCAGACAGGTATCCCCGCTCACGGCAGGCTATTGATAAGCCTGCATGTGGCGAACGCAAACTGGCAATCGATAAATCAATAATTTAAAAGCCGCAGCCAGGCTAAGACTCTAAGAGGCTGGTCGTTGAGCCAGTAATGTCGCAACTCGCGCCAGGGCAGTACTTAATGATTAATTGTAACTTAATTAGGTCTTTAAAAAAAAATTCCCTCTGGAGAACTCGACGGGTCTAATCATAAATTGTAACAGAGGATTTACCCATTTTTCTGTTATAGGGGAAACTCAAACAGCGTACAGATTTCGGTACTTGTGTTTTTCCGTCGTCTGCATGCACACCGCTAATTTCACATCCGCTATTTAAAAATTGTCAAAAATGCATTAACTTCCGGTTTACACATGCCTTACCACAGGTTCTTACAGCTCATTCACGGTCCTTCCTCCGCCCATCTATTTCCCTCTCTCTCCCTCTCTCTTCAGCTCCCGCGATCGACAGGTTAATCTAGACTAGGCGGATTGACTAGCAGTCTTAGTTTACACGAATTGAAGCGAATGTTCGCATTCCAGGAGCGTGTATATTCTGAGAAAAAGAAGGATGATCGAACACTGGAATCATAATTTATAAGCCTGAGCTTTCGGGCTCATGCAGGAGCCCATCGTCAGAGAATGGAAGTACAACAACAAATGAGGTGGCTAGTTCTAACGTTGGCACAAAACAGCTTAAATTTTTTTGAACGGGTAGAAAATTAATAATTGTGTGGTTCGGCCGTCGACTCGCTACTGCGGACTTTATAGGCATGTGCTTGTGGGCAAGCTCGGCGTGGTGGGTGGGAATATTTACAGAAATAAAATCATCAACGAAAACAAGCAATATTCTGTAGGGGAAAGGTCAATCATAAGTCATAGGAAACGGTGTTTGAATTCCCGTGCACTTACGGCGGCCTGAATAGTCGCATGTAACCCACGACCACCCCCAGATATCCCCCAAATGCCCCTACCCTAACGCCAGCAAACCGACCGAGAAACAAATACCTTCTCCAACATGACGGGTAAGGTGACGCCACCTTCAGCCCTCCCATCTCCTCCTAACCCGGAGTTTGGTTACTCATTCGGCCTAGTTGAACGCGTGATTCCCATTTTTTATATAAAGCAAGCCGACCAAGGGGAATATCGTGATTCTCAAAAGCTGTCTCATTACCAGCGACGGTACACTGTACTTGGCTACAAGAACACTGACCTGATTTACAACTTTTTCGGTACTTTGTGATTTTCACAATCGAAGTTGGAAATAAGGCTCATGCAGTAATACATTGCTTTTCATGAAAAGAAAACTGACAACCTCTTTATCAAATGTATATATTTAGGTAAAAACTGTAGTAAATAGAGATTGTTGGTATGACAAATTGTGCCTGGAATGTGCATGCTCTTCTTATAAAAAAAATACAAGCTATGTTACTTGTGTGACATCAAGATGAACCGGGGGGAAGGGGCGACTGGGCATCCATTCAACTCGGCAGCTCGGGCGTCTTTGCGTAGTTTTTGGAATTTTCTCCAGCACCGGGCAGATGGACGCCAATGCAGAGCTCGTAGAGTAGGACGCCGACGATAGCAGACAAGAAGGGTGTGAAAAATAGGACGAAGCAGGCGTAGTTGCCGTGGGTAAAGGCGGCGGTGCCCCAACCTGAAAATGAAAAAAAAACTTACAGCCATTGTTTTGCTGCCAACACTGATTTTGGCGCTCAAGTAGTCAGTCCGTGTCTGCTATGTGGCAAATGCCCCAAAGCGGTTATTGGGCCTTACAATGCTGATGATCCCGTTCGTGATCTAGGTGGCGTGGTAGCTGTATCGGTCAAAGGTCCTTCTGGTTATCTAACCCCTGTCAGTATGGACACCCTCTTCTCCGCCTACGAACAACCTCCCCATCAGCCCTCTCAATCTCAATGAAGTAACAACAGTAACAGTCTATTATAGCTAACACTACGAAAACCAAAATTTACAGAATTGTATAACATGGGACCGGTGAAAAAAATTTAATTTATTTATTTTTAAACTATCCCACGCTTATATTTTGCTACTTACAATATTTTCTAACACTTTTGTCTACCACTTCCAGTTTTTCTTTGTTATATTTATTTAATTTTCTCTCCTATGAACGGGTACTGCCTAGGTCGTATATCAACCACCACCACCGTTCCCGTCGTACAGAATTCTGGGGAGGTTTTGTGTTTCCGTGGTTTCGTTGAAAACAGAAATGCGAATGGATTTGCAGAATAGGTTTGACTTAAATTAATTGACGAGCTAAAACACTTCAGGACTATAAGGTATGCTGCCGAGTGGGTGTTTTTGTGACAGTCTGTTATAAATAAAACGACGGGAACCAAAACACTAGAATAATGTACCACGAGACCGGTGGCAATAGGGATGATACAGGGGGGCAGCAGAGAAACTTTGAGAAATATAGACAAAAAACAACGGTAACAAGGATAGAATCCTATTTTTTGTTCCAGATCGGCACACAAAAGATGTATACAATACTGTAGTACAGAATGGGGTGAAGTAAAAGGTATACAGTTGGGGCAATACAAAGGAAGGAAAAGATCGATAAAATATAATGTTTATAAAAGTAAAGAAAACACGAATTAGCATTTAAATGCCCTAATGTTTGTCAATAAAGAGCGCAAGATAATTAAAATGAACAGTTTTGCAGATATACGGAAAGAATTAATTTAGGAAGTTACTAACTAAATAATGCTAACTAATTGATGTTGTAACTTAATATACTAACAGCCTAGGTACTTGTATAAAGGCCCATGGTATACATTAGAATATTTAAGGTCTATGGCCGTAGACCGAAATTGTTAATTTTTATATGTGTTGAAGCCCGTCAACCCCTGTGAAATAAACACCTGCTGCCAACAGATAGTCTTTAGTAGTAGTACTAGGCTGTAAGTATGTTAAGTTACACCGTCAATTTATACTACGAAAGTCTGTTTGTCGGCAGCAAGTGTATATTTCACAGCTGTTGACGGGTTTCAACACAAATATACACTGACACTTTCGGTCTACGCCTATAGACCTTAAATATACTGATATATACTGCGAAAAGAAATTAATTTCTAAGGAGACTAAAAAGCTGAATGATAACAAACCTAAGCCAAATGGCCTCCACCAAATATTCTAAAAACAAGGTTAAAAATAATAAGCATAATAATGAACTGAAAACTAAACTGGAAACTGAACTTAAATCCAAAAAAGTTAAATAAACCAAATATAATAATCTAAAGTAGAGTTAAAGCTGTGCGCGGCGTTTTGCGCTGCGAACTATACCAATCTAACCCCAGAACGATGAGTTTGATTTCTTGCAGTATGGAAGATAACGACCCCCTTACCAATAACACCATTTCCAGGACTATCAAGAAATCCAATAAACTATAAAGTAAAATTAAGTCGAAATGTGTCACACCGTATTAATTATAGGTAATTAAGTAATATACAGTATGGCGAGACCTGCATGCAACTTTCATGACGAAATATAACTTGGTGATTAGCATGCAGTAGACGCCGCAGATCATGCAACATTCCGACATATGCGAAAGATTGATACTCATTCGGTAATCGG